TATTATTATTCCTAGGCTGGATGGCCATCTATTAGAGGTGCTTTGATGGTTTCTACACTATGTTTTTTGTTTCTGGGTTATAAATGTAATTTCCTAATTGGTTTTATCAGAAAAACATGGCAAAAATTTATTAAACTTCAAAAACTTTGTCTTTGAGTGAGGAACATTGTGTTACAGCACATTTTACTGTAGTATCTTGTAGAGTCTCCAGTCCACCAATTTAACATTGCCATCAATGGTTTTTATGGACTTCATATGTTTGTTTATATAAGTATGTTATTTAATTATTAATTTTATTTTCTTGTTCAATAATTTATGAATTTATAATGATGTTACTTTGTACTGTTTTTTTTTTTGTGTTTGTTCATCACCAAGGCATTGAATGTTTGACATTTTGCATGGAAGCTGCCCCGAGTCCCCTCGGGGAGATAGGGCAGCCTATAAATCAATTATTATTATTATTATTATTATTATTATTATTATTATTATTTATAAAAAATCCCCCCAAATCCGTGGATAAGTTAAACATTCTGAAATCTGGTGAAGACTTATAGAATCATAGAATCATAGAATCATAGAATCACATAATCAAAGAGTTGGAAGAGACCTCATGGGCCATCCAGTCCAACCCCCTGCCAAGAAGCAGGAATATTGCATTCAAATCACCCCTGACAGATGGCCATCCAGCCTCTGTTTAAAAGCTTCCAAAGAAGGAGCCTCCACCACACTCCGGGGCAGAGAGTTCCACTGCTGAACGGCTCTCACAGTCAGGAAGTTCTTCCTAATGTTCAGATGGAATCTCCTCTTCTTGTAATTTGAAGCCATTGTTCCGCGTCCTAGTCTCCAAGGAAGCAGAAAACAAGCTTGCTCCCTCCTCCCTGTGGCTTCCTCTCACATATTTATACATGGCTATCATATCTCCTCTCAGCCTTCTCTTCTTCAGGCTAAACATGCCCAGTTCCCTAAGCCGCTCCTCATAGGGCTGGTTCTCCAGACCCTTGATCATTTTAGTCGCCCTCCTCTGGACACATTCCAGCTTGTCAATATCTCTCTTGAATTGTGGTGCCCAGAATTGGACACAATATTCCAGATGTGGTCTAACCAAAGCCGAATAGAGGGGTAGCATTACTTCCTTAGATCTAGACACTATGCTCCTATTGATGCAGGCCAAAATCCCATTGGCTTTTTTTGCCGCCACATCACATTGTTGGCTCATGTTTAACTTGTTGTCCATGAGGACTCCAAGATCTTTTTCACACGTACTGCTCTCGAGCCAGGCGTCCCCCATTCTGTATCTTTGCATTTCATTTTTCCTGCCAAAGTGGAGTATCTTGCATTTGTCACTGTTGAACTTCATTTTGTTAGTTTTGGCCCATCTCTCTAATCTGTCAAGATCATTTTGAATCCTGCTCCTGTCCTCTGGAGTATTGGCTATCCCTCCCAATTTGGTGTCGTCTGCAAACTTGATGATCCTGCCTTCTAGCCCTTCATCTAAGCCATTAATAAAGATGTTGAACAGGACCGGGCCCAGGACGGAACCCTGCGGCACTCCACTTGTCACTTCTTTCCAAGATGAAGAGGAAGCATTAGTGAGCACTCTCTGTGTTCGTCCACTTAACCAATTACAGATCTACCTCACCGTAGTTTTGCCTAGCCCACATTGGACTAGTTTCCTTGCCAGAAGGTCATGGGGGACCTTGTCGAAGGCCTTACTGAAATCCAGGTACGCTACATCCACGGCATTCCCCGCATCTACCCAGCTTGTAGCTCTATCGAAGAAAGAGATCAGATTAGTCTGGCATGACTTGTTTTTGATAAATCCATGTTGACTATTAGCGATGACTGCATTTGTTTCTAAGTGTTTGCAGACCACTTCCTTAACAATCTTTTCCAGAATCTTGCCTGGTATCGACGTGAGGCTGACCGGACGGTAGTTGTTTGGGTCATCCTTTTTTCCCTTCTTGAAGATTGGGACCACATTGGCCCTCCTCCAATCTGCTGGAACTTCTCCCGTTCTCCAAGAACTCTCAAAGATGATTGCCAATGGTTCCGAAATGACTTCCGCTAGTTCCTTCAATACTCTTGGGTGTAGTTGATCTGGCCCTGGGGACTTGAACTCATTAGAGCGGCCAGGTATTCCTGGACGACTTGTTTCCCAATTTGGGGTTGGATGTCCTCCAATCCCTCATCCACTCCATCTTGCTGAGGTTGAAGACTCTCTTTTTGTGAGAAGACCGAGGCAAAGAAGGCATTAAGTAGTTCTGCCTTTTCCCTATCCCCTGTCAGCATTGCCCCATCTTCTCCGCGAAGAGGTCCTATCGCCTCCTTGTTTTCCTTTTTCTACTGACATAAGAATAGAAGCCCTTTTTATTGTTTTTAATGTCCCTGGCAAGTCTGAGCTCGTTTTTTGCTTTAGCCTTGCGGACCTTTTCCCTACAGGTGTTGGCTATTTGTTTGAATTCTTCTTTGGTGATTTCTCCCTTTTTCCACTTCTTGTGCATGTCTCTTTTGTAGTGAGCTTCACCCCAATAGGTGTAAAAATGTGGGAGAAAGGAGCCCCTGAAGTTTCCTGAATTATAGTAATTATGTGCAATTACGATATTGAAATAGTAATTACATTTTATTACTCTTGTTATAGTAATGAACCTTTCACTAACTATACATAAGAAACACTTTAGAAATGAAACGCCATTGCCCCCAATTTTGTGATGACTTTTGAACCATTTTTTGGGGGATTGCACATGCCTGTAGGTGTTACCAGCATTTGGATTCCCCTGCCCTTATGAGAAGATTGAATTTTATTATGTAAATGTCAATCAATTATTATATTTGTCTCATAATTCATAAAGACATTTCTACTAAAAGCTTTAAGTGGATCAAGTTTTCCAGTATGCACCTTTCTCAATGTGTGTATATGCATTCACAGTATATATATATATATCTTTGTAAAAGTTCCATGAAGAAAGTGGAATCTGAAATATTTTGCTATTTGTTAATCTTTTCAAGAAATATATTGGATTTATGTGTGTACACTGTATTTACTCGCATATCAGTCTCTACAGCCAATAAGTCACACCCCCATTTTAGGGTTGCAAAATGAGTATTATTCACGTAATAGTCACATCTTTTATTCACTCACCCACACACCTGATTGGTTGAGTGAATGACTGGTGCCTGCTCTGCAGCTGCATTTTTCTCACCTTGAAAAAGTCTCCATTGCGTAATTATCACATATCCCCCTTTTTTGGGAGGGGGGACTATTATGCCATGAAATACACTATATATATTTCACTGGGGATGCTGAAGTTGAAGATTCTGCACTGGCGAAGTGATGGACCTAATGGTCCATGGACCTCTTCCAAATCTAAGATTTTATGTCTTGTAAAATCCAAAGTGCTTGGAACCAGAAGTGTTTGGGATTTTTATTTTATTTTATTGAATTTTAGAATACTTATATCTGTATATATGTATATAATAACATACCTTGGAGATGGTATCGAAGTCTAAATACTGAATTAATTTTTGTGTCATATACAATTTATACATATAACCTGAAGGCCATTTATGTTATAATTTTAATAATTTTGTAAATGAAACAGTTTGCACACATTACATATCAGAAAGCAAAGATGTCACTATCTCAACCACCCTTATAGGCCATTTTGGATATTGACATTCTGGATACTTAACCTGTAATGTTAAACAGCAAGTGATCTTCTGATTAAGTGCATACACTGATTGTTTTAAATGTCACATCAGTTTACAACAACGCTGTGAGCTATACTGGCTAGGGAATTCTGAGAGTTGTCATCAAAAAAGTAACTTTTCCAAGCTTTAAGTGTGTGGTTCTGGATCCGATCTACAGCTAGTGCAGAATTAACAAGTTGATTTAGAAAAGCATTCTTCTGGAATAAAACAACTTTCAAGTATGCACACATGCACACACACACACTCTTGGTGGCTATCCTAGTATAATGTATTATTTTTCATTATTATAAAATTGTCCTTTCCCAAGATTTAGCACTCCATTAACCTTTTAAGGATGAAAGACTCCTTGGCCTGTCTGTGATTGGTGCTGTTTATTCAAGAGTGGCAGAAAGAGGGAATTGAAGGTGCCCAAGACAGTTAAGTTTAAAAGGCTATTATTAATCTTTGAGTACAAGTTGAAATTTGGCATAGACACCAGGAACTGCTAATGAAAGCCAAAGGAAATTATTCAAAACTAGTACACAAAGGAATGGCAGATTTTTTTAAAAAAAAATCTAAGAAAATAGAATGCCAAATATGTTCAGCCATTTATTGCTGTTAATAAATTATGCATGGAAAGCTGGCATTCTGTTGAGAACCATTCTCAAGATTAATAAGACACAGAAGCCAATGCCACTAGAAACTTCCTCTGCAGAACCACTTCTGTGTACAATTATATGAATATTAATTTATTGGTTGCCATTTTCATTAACTGAAATGACATGTGGCTTGTTTACTCTGGAAGAACAAGCTCACTCTTTTACATGCACTACATTTTCAAATACTTGTAGGAATATTTTTTCAATCTTTTGTTTATTAGTTGTACAGTTCATTTCCCCCATTTAATTTGTTTTAAAGCTATAAATTGAGAGTGTAGAGGTCTTCTATATCAGCAATACTTGCAGAAAAGATCACTTCCAATGACAGAAGTAAATGGTTCCAAGTCATTATAGGCAAAGAAGAAAAGCCTTAGGGATTAAATTTTACAAGCATGAACATTTAATTGCCTGAGTGATATATTCCGTACAAAACCTTCAGCCATGCTGCAAGGTAAGTGCTGCAGGGTAATTCTATGGGCATCATGATCATCTGTCAAAATTTTACGTGACCACCCTTGGAAATGGAAGCAATTCTCAAGATATTAGTCACAGGGTTAGTCACAACAAAAATATTTCATTAGAAAAGATTTATCTGTAATATTTTCCTGTACATTAAGAACCACCCAGAAGTTATTTACTTGGTGGAATATGATATACCCAATGTTAAGGAAATTGAGATAAATCACCTTCCTTTTCTCAGCTGCTTTGACCTTCCAAGTCCTACTTGAAGGCAAGAAGTGGTAAAAACACTGGACTCCTTAATTCAGCTTTCAACGAAAGCGGCACTTTATCTTTTATTTACAAAATATACAAGACAATCTCCAATCATGTCCATTCACTTCTTGGCACACTGTATGGAGCATGTTCCACACCTCAGAGCTCCTTTCTGGTGTGCAAAAGAAACTCCAAAAGTGACACTCTACCAATTCTGCGCATCTCTGTAATTTTAACCCATGCATTACTGAATCCATCCAAGTTAAACTATAAGCAATTTTCACACCAGAAAACATTAACTACTGTCAACCAAAGCAGACTGGGCTTTCCACATCTTGTTTCCAGCCTTGTATTTCCTGTATTCATGAAGGATGATGGGATGGCCAACATCATATGAGGGAACCACATTATTTCCACCCCAACTGTAATAATTTCAACACTTTAATTTTAAAATCAATCCATTTTCAGCCTCATTTAAAAGTATTTCTACAGAAGTTGATTAAGGAGTATTTGTGTAGGCAGCATTTTGAATACTCAAAACATTTTTCTGTATCCTTGTCACATCAGGGCATCTTGATGTCAGTGGTTGGCTTGTCACCTCCAACAGTGAAGACTTTCTCTCTAGTATACTGTGTTGCTGTAGGCAGCTCATTAGAATTCATCAACAGACCTAGTTTAGTTCAAAAGCTACAACTAACAGCATGGCTACCTGAAACTTGAAATGATACGATTCACGTGGCAGGCATCTCTCTTTCAGCCATCAATCTAAAATAAAAACAAGATATTTGGTTTATTTCCTTCTATATCAATATATTTAATTTGTTTCTTAAACAAAACTTCAATAGCATAAAGGACTACAAAAATCGACGTGTATATAGGTCTTCATCCTTTCAAAATATTTGTTGAGGTCCAAACAGAACTTTGGGCAAATAATCCAATAATCATCAGTACTAAAATAAAATACAAACTTGCCAATAAATCAACTAGATCAAAAGCATTATATCCAATTTGCTCCTTTCATTATATGATGCATGAATACAAACAAATAATTAACTGCACATGCACAAATACGATAAAGTAGATGCATATGTATATACATATCCTTTTGATAGTAAAAACCCAGTGGTTTGTAAATTAAACCCTTGTCAGTGAATTTCAAATAAAAACAAATAAGATAAACTATTTGGGGACTTAAGAGGAATGGATTAAAATGCATCTTATTTCTTAAATTTATTTTTTATTTTTTAACATTGACATATTAAAATATAAATATTAAGCCAGATGCCACAGTTGGAACACTCTAGATGGCAATGTTGTTAAATGCCTATCTTAATAGGTCTAGCTTTGTATGAATTCAGGTACAAAGCATGACTCTGAGGAACTAAAATATTTCATCTTCTTGGATGAACCATGCTCGCTAAATTGGCAATGCTATTTAAACAATACTTTAGGAGTTTGTTAACATTTCTCTTATTTTTCACGTAAAAATGCAGATGCAGAAATGCATACTTTTGCATGTGCTCTTGCAGACATGTGTACGCACTTCTGCTCCTCCTTATATATAGAATCATAGAGTTGGAAGAGACCGTATGGGCCATCCCATCCAAACCCTCTGCCTAGAAGCAGGAAAATCGCATTCAAAGCACCCCTGACAGATGTCCATCCAGCCTCTGTTTAAAAGCTTCCAAAGAAGGAGCCTCCACCACACTCCGGGGCAGAGAGTTCCACTGATAAACGGCTCTCACAATCAGGAAGTTCTTCCTAATGTTTAAGTGGAATCTCCTTTCCTGTAGTTTGAAACCATTGTTCCATGTCTTAGGCTGCAGGGCAGCAGAAAACAAGCCTGCTTCCTCCTCCTGATGACTATCTTCACATATTTATAGATGGCCATCATGTCTCCTCTCAGCCTTCTCTTCTTCAGACAAAACATGTCCAGCTCTTTAAGCCACTCCTAATAGGGCTTGTTCTCCTGACCCTTGATCATTTTAGTTTCTCTGGACATATTTCAGCTTGTCAACATCTCCCTTAAATTGCGGTGCCCAGAATTGGACACAGTATTTTCCAATTCATATAGATTTATGAATGTGTAATGAAGCTTTACAGAAAAAACTAGCATAATTCACTTCGTGTAAACATTTGTCTTATATAGGTTAAGAGAAAAGAGTAGGAAAATTGAAATATTTGAAGACAATGGGACATCCATTCCTGTATCACATTATTTGTGTTTCAGCATAGTACTAAAATACAGTGCCAATGATTTATGTTCATTCAACCAAATAATACTTCTAAATGTAAATCAATTAAACTGGCTTAATTGTTTTAAAATAATGAAGATTTTTTTCAATTGCATAAATGGGCTGTGTGAGCTTTTTAAATGCCTATTGATAAAAAATACAGTTGTATATTAACATCATTCTAGCCTAAAATAACTGAACCTTGATCCTAATTAATGTGTTCTCTTTTGGTTAAGGTTTTGTGCAGTGAAAGTGAAAGGCTATGTTTCCAAGGAAACAACAGTGCTGTGGTTTTCACTGCATTAATGTTTCTTGTAAGAATGTTCCAAAACCACTTATTTAAGTGTGTAAAGCTTTTCCTAAACATATAGTTAATTTTGTGTGTACCTAAAATAATTAGTATTTTTAAATGGAGCCTTTTGAATGTTTGGGGTCATTTTTGCAGCTATGATTTATTTTAACACACAATCTACAGTATAGTACTTTCTGAAATAAGTTTTATTTTCTGTACCATCATGTCAGCCAGAGCAGCAGCTTGTGGACCTTTAGATATTATTAGCTTCAGATGTGACACATCTTCCCTCATCACTGAATGAACAGAATGTTATGATAAAATATAGAATTATTATTTTCATGAATGTTAGAGGTTGATAGGAGATAGTATCTAGAGCACTGTTTCTTAAACTGTGGGTCCCAACACCAAGTGAGGTCCCCTTAGCTCAGTGTTGACGTAATGATAAATTTGGCGGCAGTAAAAGGTTTGTGAATGTCACCCATTTACACAAATTACAGTGAACTCTGCAGAAAATGCTTTAGATGTATTCCACCAAAAGGTTGGCAAGCCTTGCAAATGCTGATTTATGATGATGATGATGCTTATGTATACCCCACTTTTTCTCTCTGTAAGGAGACTCAAAGTGTTTGATTTTTAAACACACACACACACATATATATACACACATACACACACACACACCTCACGTAAAACATTTTTGAGTGGAAAGGGGTCATGAGTGTGCCGTCACGCTTGGGGGCTATAACTCTTAGTGAAAGAGGCATGGACGTGACATCTTCCCCCAGGGGATTGTTTCTTGCCCTCCTTTAGGGTAACTGGAACTCCCAAGGACCAAAACACTGTAAATAACTCAAAATAGGTTTTATTGTTCACAAAGAGTTATCCCTTTAAGGCAATAAGCTGGAAGTTTCAAAGGGGCAAAGGGCCTGATGGTTCTGTGGGTGCCCAGACAGAAGGGGTTTTTGAGCAAGATGGTTCTCCAGCTGAAAGAACGGAGGGGGTTTTGGAGCAACATGCTGTGGCTGAGTCAAAGTGTGATTGTGAAACTGATTTGGAAGCCAACAGGCAGGGAGGAGAGGATAACATTAGCTCATCCGAAGAAGCAGCTGGCTTAGAGATACCAGTTTGCTTCTAAAGAGACAGAAATTCAGGTGCAAGAAAAGCCATGGAAAAGAGAGGCAGAAGCGTTCATGTTTTGCAGCCCTTAAATTAGGGAGAGAGCTGTTAAGAGTTTTAGATCAAGCAACGTCGCTACTGGAGTGAGAAACCCCTGTCTTGTTTCTGGTTCATGCTTTAGCTCAAGACCCAAGATTCCTGGTCAAGTTTTGCTTCAGGCTTTATGGATTTACCTATGGATTCATGCTCTTGTTTTGTTCCTTGTTTTCTGGATGAATGTTTGTGTTTTCATTCTTGTTTTTTTTTATTTACCTATTGCCTTCGGGACTTGCTTCTTTATTAACACTTGGATTTTGACCCTATTGATTGCTTAAGGTGCCTTTGGCCCTTTCTTATATGTGTTTTATCAATAAACTGTTTATTACCATGTCTGGTTTCCTGGTGAATGCTGTGAGCAAGGTGAACTCCTGCTGAGGTGCAACATGTCTCAACTGAAGTAGACTTATTGAATAACTTGCTGAATGGTTACTTATCTCAATTTGGTTGATCCAGTAGACTTATCAAATGTGACACTAGCTATTGGTTCATAGTCTTCAGAGTTCTTCGTGACATCAAAGTAATTGTTATCACTTAATAATATCATATGAAAGTTGACTGGCACAACCTGGGGATCACAACCAGAGACAGTGAAGACATCTGCCCTTGCGCTTTGCTACTCTGCTGCTGAATTCCCATGCCCAGTGTAGAATACATCTCACCACTTTAAAACAGTGGATGTGGCTCTTAATGAGACAATCTGCATTATCACAGGATGTCTATGCCCTACACCGCTGGGAAAATTATACTGTTTAGCCGGTATTGCACCACCTGATTTCTGTCGGGAAGTAGGAGCCAGTAATGAAAAGACCAAGGCATTGACATCTTTGGCCCATCCTCTATATGGATATCAGCCAGCATGCCAACACCTTAAATCAAAAAATAGCTTTCTGAGATCTACAGAGATTCTCACAAGAACACCTCATCAAGCAAGAGTCCAAAAGTGGCAGGCTAAAACCCAGAACCTCAATCAGTGGCTGATACCGAATGAGAAATTCTCTCCTGACCACACAGAAGACAGGGTGACTGGGACTGTGCTGAATAGACTGTGCTCTGGTACCACGAGATTCGGAGCCAATCTTAAGAAATGGGGCTACAAAGTGGAGTTTACAACATGCGAGTACGGAGAAGAGCAAATCACAGACCACTTACTACAATGTGATCTGAGTGACACCAGAGGCACTCCAAATGGCCAGCTTCTGGTCAAAGAAAATTTAGCATAATGCCAAGTTTTTAACTTTGTTTTGGGTTTTTTATACGTTATAACTGTAGTCTCAATTCACTTCTGACACAATAATTAAAATAAAATAAATAAATTATGTTCAAGTTCTAAGTATGCATTAAAATCTTCTGTGTGCTAGGTAACAGTTATACATTTGGCTGCCTTCTTTTCTGTATATTGTTTCGCTTTTGGAATGATTTCTCCCTTTTATTACTAAGCAACCGTTCATCTATCTCACCATTTGTTTTCTTCTCTTCTTTTCACCTATGTTGCATCCTAAAAATAGCCTGGCTCTCCCTATGGAGGCCCACTCAGAGAACGATTACCTTAGGATACTTGTACTCAAGACATGAACAACATTTTAAAACAAATCCAGTGGAAGCACCATGTATCTTCATAGTCCTTTTGCATGATTGCTTAAAGGAGTGACTTATTAGATGAATCACATTTAGATATAGATTTAAACTTTTTAACACTCAGTGAAAGAGTCTGTGTACAAGGAACTTAAAGTGGTTTCAAGGATGATTTGTGAGGAAATGTTATAATTTTGTAATGTAAATTTGGGGAAAGCAGGATTGGACAAGTTCCTAATTTATTCATTATTTCATTTATATCATTTTAGTGGAACTCTAAGTGGTGCCCACAGCTGGTGCACTAGCTGAAAGACATCTCAAGCCATATCTGACATCCCAAGGAATGTGCACAACTGGAGAACTAGTTTTCACTGTGCAAATGTATTCCTGGCCATTGCTGAAACTTCAGCATTTAAGCTCAGAGTTAAATGCAGAAGAACACCCAAGCC